GAATACGCAAGACCTGTATTTTCAGTTATTCAGATTTCTTTTTTAATTTTATTTATTTATTTATTTTTCCCCCAAAGCCCCAGTAGATAGTTGTATGTCATAGCTGCACATCCTTCTAGTTGCTGCATGTGGGACACGGCCTCAGCATGGCCGGAGAAGCGGTGCGTCAGTGCGCACCCGGGATCCGAACCCGGGCCACCAGCAGCGGAGCGCGTGCACTTAACCGCTAAGCCACGGGGCCGGCCCCAGTTATTCAGATTTTTATGTCCCTTAAACGAATTTTAAAATATTCTCTATAGAGGTCTTGAATGAGATGACTACTTACAAAGATGACAATTCTCCCCAAATTAATATATAAATTCAATGCAATCTCAATCAAAATTCTTGAATGTTTTTGAGGGACTTGATAAAACTTTTTATATAAAGCTCCACAAATGGCTAACTCAACTTGGAAAAATAAGAGCAAAGTGGGAGCTATTAAGACACTCTATAAAGCCATAATAATAAAAACATAAGATTCTGGTGTAAGAATAAGCAAACAGACCAACAAAACGAATCAGATCACTCAAGACAGATCCAGGTACAGGAGGGAACTTGAAATGAGATGAGCTCCACAAATCAACAAAGAAAGAATGGACTATTTAGGAGGTGGTACTGGGAAAACTGCCCACTATATGGAGGAAAATAAAACCAGAACCTACCTTATACCATATTCAAAAGTGGACTCTAGATGGATTTAAAGACCTTAATGCAAAAGGTAAAACTACAGAATGAAAACAATCTCTGTGATCCAGAGGTAGGAACAGAGAAGATTCTGAAAGCACAGATTCTAAGACAAAAAAGTGATGAATTTTAGCACACCAAAATTAAGAACTGGTATCCAGCCTTGGGGGAATCGTTAAGTAAAAGGCAGTAGGCACACCTATGGTGTCCTTAGGTCCAATTAGAAGCAAAGCAGTAATATACACAGGGCCATACAGACAGATCTTAAAAATGCAGTGCTGAGAAATACAAAGTTCAGGAAACAGAATGAAGACTGTAGCACTCTGCCATTTGTTTAAATTGAAGACACAGACACTGAAAACAACACTACATATTTCAGAAGGATACATTTCAAACCCAACAGAGCAGCTGCCTACAGCTATGGGAATTGGGAATAAAAAGGAAAAAATAAATATGGCAAGAGAAGGTCCTATACTGACCTATGATAGAAACCTACCTTGAACTGGAAAAGTATGATTAACTCAAACCTCTGCTCTTGAGGTCCTCTAAAGGCCAAAAGACAGCCAGTGGCTTTATTTGGTAAATCAAGTCTGAAGCAAGTGTGTCACCTACTCAAACTCAGAAACTGCCAGAGAACACTTCCAGTGAATACCACCCAAAATGGAGTGCCTTTCAAAAGACGTTTTTAAACAAAGTCAAGACTGAATAACACCAGATGATGACCACATCTCAAACTTGGGCTTACTTTTCAGAAAACAAAATATTATAATTCTGCATTTTTCAAAGGGGTGGCAGTAGAAGAAACTCTTTGTAAGACATTAAAAAATTATTTCCTCCCTGACTTTTTATAAATCTACTGACTTTGAATAGAGGCTTTCAGGGCGAGTTATGTCTGCTTTCCTATGCAATCTTAAAACGTCAAAAATAGATCATCTGCATTGGACTCAACTGGGGTGATCCACCAGCATAGTGAGGATATGGCCCAGGATCTCTGTATTTTACCAAGTGTCCCAACTGTTTCTCATTTGTATCAGAGTTTAAAAATAACTGTACAAGAGTGTCCCTTCCAAGAGAAGTATCATGCCAACTTCAGCCCACCCTGTCCCTGAAGTCTCCCGCTATCTGACCTGGCTTGCCCCACACTTGTCTTGGACAAATTCCTGACTCTGAAGGCACCAGTCCCATCTACCCCTCAAACCCAAAGCTACAGCCCACAGCTCTCCCCTGAGAATCCACGGGCACTTACAACCCCCCACCCATCTGCCCTCCACCTCTGCCTGTCCTCCTGCAGTGGCTGTCCACACCTTGGTGAATGGCACCACACACCTCTCTGGGTCAACCTAACTGGAAACCTGGGTACTAGCCTCCATTCCTCCCTTTCTCTTGATCCATTCCCACCCTCACAACCAACCACGGCACCATGGCACCTGTCAAGCTGTTTTGAACCACCTGGAAACTGTGTGGTCTCCCTTGTGAGACCCTGAGTAAGAAGGCTGCAGTCTTATCGATCTCATTCACCACTGCACGCCCAGAGCCTAGCACAGCTCCTGGCTCACAACAGATGCCGAATAAATGGCTGCTGAGAAGAAACCAATCATCTGCTGTGCTGTTTCCTCTGCCTGGAAGCCCCCTCCTAGCACCTTCTTGGATCAATTCTCACATGGGGACAAGCTTGGTAGTGGTGGGAGCGGGTAACTCACCGTCTTTCATACTCCATGTCCTGATAGGGCCTGCGGGGACTGTTGGGGCCCCTCCTCAGCCGCTGGCTCCGTTTCACTTCCCAGCTGCCCCTGCTGCTGCCACCATGATCTGCCAGCCTGGGTGATGTCTCCTGCAGGTACTCTGGGGAGAATAGAAGGAAGAAAGGGGTCAAGGCAGTTGGGGCAGAGAGGGCCTCCTTGAGAAACCCTCGTTGTCAAGGCTCTCTGCTGTCCTTTAGCCCAGGGATGTTGTTTTCCAACTCCTAGTGCTCCTGTGGACCAGATTGGGAAGGCAGCCCCTACTTGACCTGCTCCTTCCTTTCCCCACAAATGTGAGGCTAGAGCTCACTACCCTAGAAACAGCAAGGTCTTCAGCAGAGAGGGAACAGACTTCATGGTGCCACCCATTCTGTGACCAGGGCTTTGCTGTTTGAGACTGGTAGACGAGTTCAAGCCCGGAGCTACCTGCCCCCCGGGGGGGCTCTTGGTGCTGCATGACTTGTCCGAGATCAGGCACATTAGTCATGCAGGCAAGACTTCACAACGGGAGTCCCAGTCTCCAGGCTCCTTCCATGGGCCCTCAGGTATTTCATCCTCCCAACAAGATGCTGGCTGCCCCTTACAAGACGGTGGGAGAGCATGAAAGGCTTAGTGGGTGAAGGGGCTAACTTGGCAACAAGATAGCTGCTGCCTCCCTGGGCTCCTGGCCAACACAGCTTTGGCCCTCACACGGCAACTGGCTCAGCCCTGAGCCCCGTCTCTTATGCGCAGCCAGGTCTCAAGGCGGCTCTCTCCCCGGGGCTCTAAGCCCATGTTATTCAGAGGAAAAAGGAGTCCTTTCGGAGGCTGTTCCAAACCACTGTGCTATTCTGCTAGGATGGAAGGGCAGTCACTTCACCCAACCCTGAGGGCTGCGGTGAGAACTAGGAAGTCCTGAGAGCCACGTGACCCGCCCAGGGGTCATCACGAAATATCCCAGAATCTTCAGGCCCCGCCCTCTGAACAAGAATCAGGCAAATCCAGGCAGTAACAGCACCTGCCCAACACTAGGTTGCCACCACACCTTTCCTCCATGTACAGTATACACACACACACACACACACACACACACACACACACACACACGAATTTTCTCTTCCTCCTCAAGCCACAGGGAACCAGAGTTACCTGCTCCCAGATGGGAAAAAGTTAGAATCACAACCAGGGGCCCCAGTGGATGAGAGCCAGATACAAAACCCTCAGTAGACTCCGGCAAAGGGGCCAGAGTCACACACTGCTATCCACAACAGATAGGGACCAAAGTCACATACACAGGCCCGGAATAACCGCGGCCCCAAATCACAGACAGGAACCCACAATAAATCCGGGCCATAATCATACACTGAGACCCTCTTTCAATGGATGAGTGTCAGAGTCAAAGATACAACCCCCCAAAAGAAGGGGCAGTAAGTCATACATACATTCCTTGCACTCCCTCCCCACCCAGTAGGTGGGTTAGGGCCAGTCGTAAGAAGACTCCCTATGGTTAAGGACTCCTCCCCATGGATAAGGACCAGAGTTACAGACACAAGGATAAAGACTAGAGTCATACAGACGTTCTCCCTCCTCCCCCACCCAAGAATAAGGACCAGAGCCACAAAACACTTCCCCATGGATAGATAAGTACCAAAGTCACACAGAACAGACTGCACACCCCCTCTCCTATGGATAAAAAGCAAAGTCGCAGACACCCGCTTCCCCACGGATAAAGTTCGGTGTCGCGGAGTAAACCACAGCGGCCCACTCCCATCCGTCCCTCCCTTCCCCCAACCCGCGTGCACCCTTCCTGTGTCCCGATCGCGCACGCGCCTCTGTTCTCAAAAGGAAAAAAAAAAAAAGACCCCCTCCCGGGCTCAGACTGTGCATGCATCCCTCGGTTCCACGCGTAGCCCAGGCCCGGGCCCGCAGTCCGCCCTCCCACCTCCTCTACACCCACCCCCGCCCCCGGCCCCTTACCTCCGCCCCCACGACCAGCGTCGACGCTCACCTTCTCGGCCCGGGCTGTCAAGGGAGGGCTCCCAGACATCACCTCGGCCCGCCGCCACCTCCTCCAACTCTCTCAGCTCAGCCGGAGCCGGTCCGGGCAACAGCCAAGTTCGAGGCTGGAGGCGGAAAGGCGGAGGAGGGGGGAGGGGAGAAGCGCCAAGAGCGCTACCCTCCCCGGGAAACCCACTGCCGCCAACTCCCAGCCGGCCGCGATCACCAGCACAAAATGGCGACGACGAGAAGCGAGCCGGCGCTTCGACCACCATCCACCTACTAAGGGAGCGCGCTCTGGCCGGCCTCATCTATTGGTCGCCGTCCGCCGTCGGCCAGCCCCTTCCTGCTCTGATTGGCAAGCGTCTGCCACCTCCCCACTCCCGGTGCGAACGCCCGAAGTCGAGAAAAGGAGCAGCTATTGGCCAATCCGGCAAGGCCCGCTTTTTAGAAGCTTGGCTTCCTTAGAAGATGAAAGACAAGCGGAAGCCCCGCCCCTTTCCCCAGAGGGCAAGGGAAATCTCTCTGCGATTGGCTGGGAACTGAATCCACCCAAATGTCACCGCTTTCTTCTCAGCAAGGAAATGAGCAGACCTCTCAGTCCGAAATTCCACAGCCTGACTGAGAGGATAAGAAAATGGTTGCTACCATGAAGCCATGACAGAGGGAGGGAAAGAGGGCTACTTAGCGCCTCACTCATTTGAAAACGAAATCCAGACTCGGGACATATTTAGTGCGGCCGGGGCGGAGCGACAGTTATCGCGCTCGGGCCAACTGCAGCTGCGCAGAGTTGCATTTCCGTCCCCGCCCCTGAGAGCCTGCAGAACAATCTGACATGGCGGCCGGGCTGTTGGGTTTGTGCGCTCGCCGCCTTTTGGCAGCAGCGGCGACGCGAGGGTTCCCGGCTGCCCGTGTTCGCTGGGACTCCAGCTCCTCTAGGGCTGTGATCGCTCCGTCCGCTGTGGCGGGAAAGCGGGCGCCGGAACCCACTATACGCTGGCAGGAAGACCCAGATCTCGAGGACGAAAACCTCTATGAGAAGGTGAGAGGGAGAGGAAAGGGGACGCCGGAAGGGTCAATCAGGGGCCAGCGGACGGGGAGCGGTAGAGGACGTTCTTAGGGGGCTGAGGATTGCGCAGCTGGCGAAATCCTCAAAGACTTGGGAATTTTGCCTACCTTGTTTTCCTCTTTTGTCCCCTGATAATCTTCAGTTCAGGGCCAGAGGCGAGATTGGCCTTATTTTGCAGACAGATGTCAAACTTGAAGTGGGCACTGCTCAAAACACATTAGAAGCAATATAGCGTAACGACAATAATACTAAACATTGATATGGAGCTTGCTCAGTGCCTGTGTTCTAAACGCTTTACTTACGTTAACTTTCTAATCCTCAAAACAACCTTATTTCGAAGTAGGTGCTATTGGTATACTCATTCTACAGATGAGAAAACCGAAGCATAAAGATGTTAAGTGACTTGCCTAAGCTCACATAACTGAATGTGTGGCGGAACCAGGTCTGCTGTGCTGTATTGATAGCAGAGCCTCTGAAATCAGAAGGCCTAGGTTGGAAAACAGGCACTGACAGTTGCTCACCTATGTGACTTGGACAAGTAGCTTACCCTCTTGGTGCCTCAGTTTCTTTATAAAATGGGGAAAGTATTAGGACAGCTTCTAAAAAATAAAATATTACGCCACCTCATGTAATTAAATGAGTCAAAATGCTCAGCGTTGGCACTTAGTAAGTACTCAGCATTAGAAGGTGTTAATTATTGTTGCCACTTTCCACCTCACTGGGATATTGTGAAGTTTGCGTATGTGAAAGGCCTGGCACATAATAGGTATTTCATCAATACTAACTTCTGCTGGGGGAGCTTGGAAGTACAGGATGCTTGTTCACTTGTTCATTCATTCCATAAATAGTATGGAGGGCCTGTATATGCCAGGTGCAGTTCGGGGCCCTAGGGGTTCAACAGTGTGGAAATCAGATAAAGCCCTTGCTCTCATAGCTTATATTATAGTGGAGAACACAGAAAATAAACATGTACAATATTTGGAAACAGTAACATAGAGTATGTAATTGATAATAATATAAGGTTAATATGATACAGGATCTGAGGGGATGCTTCTTTGGTAAACTAATAAATGCTAGAAAGAAAGTTAAGCAGGATAAGTCCACGGAGAGTGACTTGGGGGTAGGGGGCTATTTTATTAGGTTGAACCATGGGAAATTGCCAATATTCAACCATTTTGACCTATTCAACCTATGAAAACCAGTTTCCTGTAGTTCAAATTAATAAACAATGTGACTAGGAAGGGAATGCCTCCTAAGGGAAATGATGATGAAGCCAAGACTTTGATGGAGGCGACAGATCCAGCCATGACAAGATCTGGGGGAAAGGCTTTCCAGGCAGAGGAAACAGCATGTGCAAAGACCCTGTGGTGGGAAGGAGCTTGACAAGTGCTAAGAATAGAAAGAGAGGAATTTAGGGAGGGAGGGGAGATTGGTCCAAGATGAAACTGGAGACCAGCTTATGCAGGGCCAGCATAAGGCTTTGTGGAGCAGCAAGAAGCCCTCATCGACTTCTTCTTCTCCTTGCCACAGAACCCAGACACCCACGGTTATGACAAGGACCCTGCTGTGGACCTCTGGAACATGCGGGTTGTCTTCTTCTTTGGCTTCTCTGTTGTCTTGGTCCTTGGGAGCACCTTTGTGGCTTATCTGCCTGACTACAGGTGCATGGGGTATCCAAGAGAGTGGGATGGGTGGGAACAGAGGCAGGGGTAGAGATCGAAGGGGACTCTGCCAGGAATCCTGTTCCTGCACCATTGGGGAATGGGGAGCTAAGATGGGGATTGGTGTCCAGTGAGGCTCCCTCACATCTGCCCCACGCTGCTGCCTCCAGGATGCACGAGTGGGCCCGCCGGGAAGCTGAGAGGCTTGTGAAATACCGAGAAGCCAATGGCCTCCCCATCATGGAATCCAACTGCTTTGACCCCAGCAAGATCGAGCTGCCGGACGATGAGGACTGACCGGTTGCCTAGTGGGGCTCAAGGAGCACCACCTTCTCCAGCCCCTGCCCACCATTCTGCCCTCTCCTCAGAGCACCTAATTAAAGAGATTGAAAATCTGGCTGGTGTTGATTTTGTTGTGAGGGAGATGTGGGAGTGGGAGTGTCAGGCCTTAAAAGGGCCACTGCAGCCTTTTCTGGGTGTTCTGATTATTGCTGTGCAACAAACACCCTAACACTTAGTGGCTTAAAACAACAATTTAGTATTATCTTTCATGGTCCTGTGGTTGACTGGGCTTGGCTAGGTTCTTCTTGGGGTCTTGGCTGGTTGCAGTCAGATGGTGGCTGGGGCCGGAGTCATCTGAAGGCTCCACTGGGCTGGATGTCAAAGATGGCTTCTTCACTCACTTGTCTGGCCCTTCAGTCTTCTACAGGGCCCTCTCCCCAGCAGAATAGCTTGGGCTTTTTATATGGTGGTTCAGGGCTCTTCTGGATGGGGGTGTAGCATATAGGAAGAAATTGATGACGGGGGCCAGCCCGGTGGCGTAGCGGTTAAGTTCATGTGCTCCACTTCAGCGGCCCGGGGTTCACGGGTCGGATCCCAGGTGCCGACCTGCACACTGCTCATCAAGCCACGCTGTGGCAGCATCCCACGTACAAAAGAACTAGAGGAAGACTGGCACAGATGTTAGCTCAGGGACAATCTTCTTCAAGCAAAAAGAGGAAGATAGGCAACAGATGTTAGCTCAAGGCCAATCTTCCTCACCAAAAAAAAATAAACAAAATTATTAATGAAAAAAAAAAGAAATAGCAGCCGTCTTTAGGGAAAAGCTACCACACTGGAACCTCCTACGTTGGCAGAAAGGCCAGGGCGCCCAGGGATTGAGGGTGGTGGGTCAGAGCAGGGCTTTCTATTGCTGAGGATGAGTGTTTGTCTCCCTCCCTGACTTCTGTTTCTCTCTGGGCTTGGAGGTTTCTGCCTCTGTGTCTTGGTGAGTCTGGATGCTCCTCTCTTTCCTTCTGCCCTAAATCTGGGTGGTCTCTAACTCAAGATGCACACCTGTGTGTGTGTGTGCGCGCGTGTGTGTTTCTCTGCCCCCTCCTCTCTGTCTTTCTGTGTCTTTCTCTCAAGCAGGAGGTCTCTCCCCACACACCCCCTCACTTCTCTCTGGGAATAGGCTGTTTGCTTGCATCAGGGGCTCACTCTTTAAGCCTCTCTCTCGATCTGGATCTGGATCTGGATCTGGATCTGGCAGATGGAGTAGGAACTTGGTCTGGGGCTGGCTGTCTTTTTTTCCAGGGATCCTCTCTTAGATCCCTGTTAAATCCAGATGCCTGGGCTCCCCTTCATGCCCCTGGCATCTCTGCCCTCTCCCTGCTGGACCCACCAGCAGAGGTGATGCCCCTACCCCTAGCTCCTGAGTCTATTTGTATGTGACTAAGGTGGGTGCGATGTCCACATGAACCTTCCTGGAAGTGAGCGGTGTCACTCCCTGAGTGCTTCCTTGTGGGGCCAGTCTCCCAACTCAGGATAGGCCCCAAAGCAGAGAATACTAATGTGTAAAGGGAGTGCTCTCCACCCTCCAGCCTGCGGTTACTGGGACTGTGGAAGTGACAGGCATGTTGTCCCAGCCACCAAGTTCCTGAGCATATTGAGGTACTACTCCCTGTAATAAACCTCAGCCTGTTGCAGCCATGCCTCACCATCGGCCCAGAGAACACATCACCCCACCCACCCCCACCAGGATGTAAGCTCCATGAGGGCACGTATTCAGCTGTCTGTTCACTTAGAGCAGGGATTGGCACAGCATGTGCTTGCGAAATGCTGGTATTGTTACTTCTGGGGTGGGTGCCGTCCCCTACCATCAGTGCCCTTCAGGCTACGGCCCCTGAGGATGAGCACTTCCAATCCCCCAACTCTGCCCCCTCATCTCAGGCTCTCTAGAAACCTCCATTCTGGGCCATGCCTTGCCCCCTTTCTGAAGGCAACGATACCACCTTCCTCCTCCCTCATTGTGGCCCTGCCACACTGGCCACCGCTTCTTTTCTTAAACCATTGAATTGAAATGTACATACAGAAAAGTATACCGTAAGTTTACTTCTCATTTACTTTTTACAAACTAGACACACCCATGTAACCAGCACCCAGGTCAAGAAAGAACGTGAACAATCCCAGAAGCTCCCTTCAGGTGCAACCTTCCCCCCAAGGGTAACCACTCTCTCAACTTCTAACAACGGAAGTTAGTTTTGTCTGGTTTGGGACTTCATATAAGTGCGTTCATACATTTTTGTGTCCAGCTGCTTTCAGTCAGCATGATGTTTGTGAGAGGGAGCCATGTTGTTACATAGTCAGTAGTTTGTCCAGCCTCATTGCTGTCTTCTCTTCCATTGTATGAATAGACCACACTTCATCCATTCCAATGTTGATGGGTATTTGGGTAATTTTCTATTTGGGGCTATTAAGAATAATTCTTCTTGGGGGCCGGCCCCGTGGCTTAGTGGTTAAGTGTGCGCGCTCCGCTGCTGGCGGCCCGGGTTCGGATCCTGGGCGCGCACCAACGCGCCACTTTTCCATCCATGCTGAGGCCGCGTCCCACATACAGCAACTAGAAGGATGTGCAACTATGACATACAACTATCTACTGGGACTTTGGGGGAGAAAAAGGGAAAAAAAGGAGGAGGATCGGCAATAGATGTTAGCTTAGGGCCGGTCTTCCTCAGCAAAAGGAGGAGGATTGGCATGGATGTTAGCTCAGGGCTGATCTTCCTCACAAAAAAAAAAAAAGAAGAATTCTTCTGTGAACATTCTTGTACATATCTTTTGATGGACATATGCACTCATTTCTCTTGGGCACATACCTTGGAATGGCACTGCTAAGTCTTGGGGGTGGACACATGACCAGCTTTAGTAAATCATGCCAATTTTCCAATCTCCACTTCCCCGGTAGCAAATGCCACATCCATGCCGTTACTCAACACTCTCCATCTTTTTCATTGTAGCCATTCTGGTGAGTGACTGACCTTTTAAGGACCACATTGGGATGAAGGGGTGGGAGTTGAGTGCCTACCGTGTGCCAAGCCTTGACAGTGTGCCGGGCACTGACAGATAACGGGATCCCTGTCCTCAGGAATTTCCCAGGGTGGGGGTGGGGCCAGTGTGAGTGGTCAGAGAACTTAAAACACAATGTTTTCACCCTGTGGATATTTGAACCTGGATATTTTGGACTCAGCTTTTCTCTGGCAACATGACAGATACCAACCTTCTTCATCCTTCGATCTATTAGAGTATGTATTATGTACAAGGCCCAGTGAACAAGACAGTCACAAGTCCCCAGAGCAGACACTGTCAGTTCCCTGCCCATATCCCTGTGGCCAGTGTGCGCTGGCCAACTGCCAACTGCCAGGGTCTGCATCTCGTCACTGGAGGGCTTCCTCTCAAGCTGCAGAAGGCTGTTCTGCCTCTGGGCCTGGCAGGCTGGAAGGACCAGAAAATGAACACCCCTGGCAGCAGCACTCAACCAATGACTGATGAGAGCTGGTAGATAAATACACCTGCCCCCTTGCCCCACAGATGGGACGTCTCTAAGGTGTGTGTTCTCCACTGGCCCCCAGAGCTCTGCGGTGGGAAGATGCTCCAGTTGCCCACAGTGCCAAGTCGCTTAATGACAGTCTTCATTGGCTGCCTTTTCTTCTTCGTCTCCCTTCAACACGCCTCCACTGCCCCACAGGTGCTTCCTGGAATCACGTCCTAAAGACTTCAATCCTTGTCTCAAGGTCTGCTTCTGGAAGGATCCAAACTAAGACAGTCTCTGTCCTCAAGGACTTTACCTCAAGGTGGTGGGTAAGACGGAGGGTAAACAAGCACAGAAATCAACAGATGAGATAAGTTCCGCCAGAAGGCCAGTGTGGTTGGAATATTGTGCTTACTGGAATCACTGGAATCTTCCAAGAAAAGAGTAACTAGAGATAAGGTTATAGAGGTAGTCATGGGCCAGATCCATAGGGCCCCATGGCCATGATTAGAAGGGGTTTAGCTTTTACACACTACACAAAGTTGACCAGAAGCTTACTGAAAACTCAGCAAAGCTCATCCCAAACAATTCTGGACTGTGTAAGGGAGACTGCTTACAGTTTTTCTCATGGATTACCCAGGAAATAAAAACAAAATATCTGATCATAAGCACAAAATGACTATTACTGATAGACACAAGCACCACGGAATAAACTGACCACAGCTAAAACTGTGAACTTTAAAATGTGTTGAGGGAAAACTGATGGAAGGACCCAATGTTCTCAACAAAACGTGAACCTGCAAATTTTGATCCTGAAACATTAGACTTGATGAGAACTGGCCACAAATAGAGCTCAGAATGACAGGAGCTATTCATTCAACAGATATGTACTGGGTGCCTCCTGGGGCCAGGCACTGTTACAGGCAGTGGGGATGCAGCAGGGAACAAAAGATTCAAAACTGCCTGACCTCCTGGAGTTCATATTCTAGCAGAGGGACACAGACAATAAACAAGGCAACAAATTACATTATTTGTATGTTGGGAGGTGATAAGTATGCATTAAATTAAAAATAAAGCTGGGAAAGGGCATCATGACTGCAGGGTGGGAGAAGCTTGTATTTAAATAGGGTAGTCAGCTTAGGCTTTGTTGAAAGGTAATTTTTTTTGAGGAAAAAAATGTGAAGAAAGCAAGAGATGAGCTACACAGATACAAGAGCATTTCTGACAGAGGGAACAACCAGTACAGTCCCTGAAGCAAGAATGTGCCTGAGCTGTTCAAGGAGCAGCCTGAGGCCAAGGAGATATCTGGGACAAAGCTATTATTGCTGAAATATGACACAGATAAGAAAAATTGATGCGTGAATCGAATTGTCACTGGAAAAATTAACCTGAAAATGATTCATCCAACTGAAAACCATTTAAGAAAAACGAAAATGGCCAAAATTGGCTTTAGGTGGCATTGAACAAAGAATTAAATTGGCTCAGAATTCACTCCAGGGCAAAGTTTTTTAATAGAAATTCATCTGAGGTGGTATAACTCCAATTTTAGATGTTAATATTTGTAAGCAGAGCCAATACATCAGAGGTCAATTGCATGTGAGTCCGAGGAG